TACACTACGTGTTCTCAATAATGTATGCTTGTGTTATTATTATGCTATAGATAATTATCAATACACTATGTTGTGTAGATTAACCTATAAGATGGAAAATTCTTCTGAAAAACATTATGTTATGGTTTTTGTTTTCTCATATAAGGGGACATTTTATAGATGATGTCTAAGCATCTGGTGTAAGATTGATTTGTTGAAAAATATTTATTATAAAATAACACTGTGAGTTATCAATAGTGTATGCTAGTGTTGTCATTATGCTATGTGTATTTGTCAATACACTGTGTGCGGTGCAGGATGGAATTAATAAGTATAGGTTATCACAGTAAGAACAATCGCATAAGATAGTGATTTATCATAGTAATTGATATTGTTGTTGTACCTTATAAGACTGATTTGTGATGCAGGATGACCTCCATAAGAAGAAGATAGAATACTTATGGTGGCTACTGGATCATCATAATTATGTGAAAGAGTACGAAGCCATGTCCTTGTTAGCAAGATCTCGAGAAAGCAAGAAGAGGAAATACAAGGGCTAATTGATTCATGAATTGACTGTAGAATAAAACTTGATTGATGATTATGTACTTGTGTATAGTTAACTTAGTAAATACTATTATGAATGTTGATTTCAAATTTGTAAATGTGGCTCATAGTTTATTTTATTAATCACATGTTGACATATGGCTAAGAGTGATTGATAAGTGACCAATGGTTATTAACAAGCTATGTGTATCAATTTATTAGGTTGTAAAATTTTACAAGTTATAATACTCATTGACAACTTTCCATTAGCTATTGACTATAGGGAAATGACCATTGATAAGTGCAAATATATTAGATGTAATAGTTTTCTTTAAAAATAAACAAGTTATAATACTCTATTGACATCTTGCCAATGAATATTGACTGCAGAGCAACTGCTATTAACAAGTGAGACATTGATCATTGACAAGAACGAATATATTAGGTGCAAAAATTCCCTTTAAAGAATAAGTTATGAGAATCTATTGACAACTTGCCAAAGGCCGTTAACTATAGGGAAATAAATATTGATAAGCGAGACATTGGCCATTAATAAATGCTAAAGTTCTTAGTATGTGAATTTCTTTCCAAAGTGCACGAGTTAATTGATGTTGATATTGACAACAAGTTAGCTCGTATTGACAACATATAAATTGGTAATGACAATGTTTCATAGCAAAAAATATGAATGAATGGACATGCATCAAAAAAAAAAAAAAGTTCCATATGCATTTACAAATAAATTCCAAATGCATTAAAAAAAAATACACTTGTCTCTAATATTCACTAGCATGGAATATTAAATGGTTCTTGCAAGTTTTGGAAGTATGACCAATCTCATAGTATCTTCTACAATGATAAACCTTTTTGTTTTGAATTTGAGATTCTCTTCTTTTATTCCTTAAGAGGTCTTCTAGTTATTGAGCCTCCAAGAAAGTTTGGGTCAGCAAATCTATCACTGTCAATGCTCTTGGATTTGGACAATCATGTGTGGCTATTGCATATGCTATTATATTTTATGAACATCCCTTAACCTTGCAATTCATAATGATCTTGTCTATATTATTCTTCACAAACTTGTATGAAAACTTGTGTGAAATGTTGTGCTTGTATAATGCTTGCCTGAAGTCCCCACCATTGGAAAAAGTTTGCCCTTTACCTGTAAACAAATTCCTTTCATTTCATATAATTTATTTCAAGTATTGGTGTAGATACCATTTTAACTTTGCCCTTCACCTTAAAACAAATCTTTCCTATAATTGATGGTATCATTCTTTTAAACTCTTCTATGTTGTCCCTTCTTTTATTGTTCTTGTTCTTATAGCTCCCACATATTGCATATTTCCTTTGTAGGCATCATCTAGATAATGTCTCCTTATATGAAAAAACATAATATATTTTTTCTAGAAGACTTTCTATCTTACAGGTCAACCTGCACCACACACTGTGTATTAACAATTATCCATAGATAATGACAACACATGCATAAATTATTGACAACACGTAGCGTTATTTCACAATAAATATTTTTCAACAAATAATTCTCACACTAGATTCTTAGGCATCATTTAGAAAATATCCTCCTATATGAAAAAAAACATAATATATGTTTTCCAAAAGAATTTTCCATCTTATAAGTTAACTTACACTACACATAGTGTATTGACAATTACCCATAACATAAAGCATAAATTATTGACAACACATAATGTTCTTTCATAACAAAGATTTTTTAACACATACATCTTTCACCACAATCCTTCCATACCCATTAACTATATGAAATAGACTTGCATAGCTATGCGAAAATTAACCAAAATCATATAGGTTGGATTGCCTTGAACCAATGAACACCCACAACATACATACCCATGAAGAGAGAAACAGACATGCGAAACCTCATTATTCTACCCTCAAACAATAATAACCCAATTGAAATCATTAACAGGGGACATATTCAGCACAAGTTAGTTACCCGATTTAGCAGTCACTGATCAAAATGGCAATGCTCTTCTTTTTTTTTTGGACAAAATCCTACAATCATGAACACCTAATTTACTTAGATGATTGAAATAGCAGCAATCATAGATACGAGGAAGTGAGAATTACCCTACCTTGATCACTGATTATGAATATGCAGCAACCATTGAAATTGATCAATAGTTATAAATCATGGATCATGTGACATGTGCGCATAAAATCTCCTTTAACTTAAGAGGAGTAAATTGGTCATTACCTTTTAAAACTTATTCACTCCTGAGAGAGAGAGAGAGAGAGTCGTACCACACTAGAAGAGAATTGATATTGATAACAGATTAATAAGAGGCGCGAATGCATGTGACGAGGGGGCGAGAAGAATATATCTTGAAGACAGTAAAAACTAAAATGAGATTTCGAATCAAATAAAGTCCAAAGAAAAATAATACTCCCTTCGTCTTAAATTATAAGATACTTTTAAATAAAATCTCACATACCAATAAACTTATTAAATATGCTTTACAACCTTACTTTTTTAAAATAAAAACATAAACTTTTAAAAATGCTCTTCATTTAATACTCTATTGATAGAAGAATATCGAAGAGAGAGAATATATGAAAAGGGTAATAATAAAAAAAGTATCATTAATAAAACCTTATTTTTATCAAAGTGTTTTATATTTTGGGATGCTTAAGCTTCCCTTAAAATTATCTTATAATGTGAAATGGAGGGTGTATAATGATATTTTAGATTATTAGAAAGATTAGGAAATATTGTGTACAAAATATTATAAATAAGAGTTTCAAAGGCTGTTCAAATGGATCCAATCACTTATATATGTATCTTTTTAAGAATTTTTTCCAAGATATTTAAAGAACTCATAAAAACATCTTGAAAGCTGAAAACAACATTATTGAGGAATTTTTTTATATTATAATTCTTTCTTTTCTATTTCTTAATTTTTTTTTATCATCTATCATGATTGGAGAATGATATTATTTATTAATTTTATTTTATGCTTCTAAAATACTCAATTAAGGTTGGGATGTAGCCAACTAAAGAGCTCGTTTCCATTTTTTTTGATTATATGCATTTATATTTATACATATATTTTTATTTTTTTAATTATATCTACTTCTCTATTTAATCAAATTTACAGGTAATCTTTATGAACAGGGAGGTGATGAATAGAGAACTTAAATTTATAAAAATAGACATAAATAATTAGGTTAGGGATGGTTATAAAAATTTGTGATGAATTAAAAGTTAAAACTATAAATTCATGGTTTAATTAGTTGACAGGGCATTATTGTAAGAACAAATTCAACACTAGCCAAAAAACGATTAATAATTTGGGATAATATTATGATATTTTAAGAATAGCTATCATTATAATTTATTAAAGAATCAATTTAAATAGTAGAAAGTAGTGACTGGTCGGCTTTCCTTGTCTTTATTTTTCCCTTATTTTTATTTTTTATACATTTTATCGAATAATTTATTTTCATTTACCGATTTGAATTGGTAAAAGCACAATCTCAATCTCTCAGGGAGACTTAAAATATTCTGAGCAATTAATTATTGTGATCCCTATGCTTACGGGAATGATCAAGAGACTTAATTAAAAGGTCGGCCAAAAAGCACATGAAAACATTGGAAAAGGATATCTTATTATTAATTTGATTAGATGTACTTATTATGTCATAGTTTACAAGACACTTTTTAAATAAAAATTAAAATATCAATAAAATTTATTAAACGCTAGCAAAAAAATAAAATTTATTAAATACTCTTATTTGAAATCTTATTCTTTTAAAACACAAATATAAATTTTTTAAAATATTATTCATTTAATATAACTTTATATATGAAATACTGCTAAATAGAAAGAGAGAATGCAATAAAAAGGAAAGGATAATATTTAAACAATTATAATTAGTACAACCTTATTTTTAATCAAACTACCTTTTTTTTTAACCAAGGATAATATCTTATTAATATATACACCAGTATTCAAAAGGCCAATTCCTGCTCAGCTTCTTGGCACATTCAAGCCCCTCCTTTGGTCGTTTTGGAAATATTGGATTTGATAATCTAGAAATGGAGTAGGTCCGCACACACAAACGTTTGGTAGGACTTTTCACCTGGATTAGGTACTTTCATGCAATTAATCAAGTGCCACGCATCGAATTACCATCCTTAATTATTTGTAGAGGGCTCAGAAATTCTGATATATCTTGCCTTTTTCCTCGGTCACATTTAACTCTCCTAAGACGCTTTTTTAAAAAAAAAAAATTATGATAACTATCTTAAGACTCTCACCGTAGACTAAAATGAAGACTTTTTTCCAAAGAGATAATCATCACTACTATAAATTAGAGAAATCGTTCGAGCATATTGACGCATACATAGATTGAATATGATGAACCTCCAGATTTATTACTCTCTCATTCTTCTTCTGTACATAATCCATTCATCCACCTCTACATCCACACACATGCCATCTCTTGATAACTATTTGATTGCTTGCGGTTCTCCTCAAAACATTACTCATCATGGTCGAACTTTTCTTCCTGATTCTCAACATCCCTCTGTTAGATCTGATTATGAACATTCTGATTCTCTATCTAATTCTTCTATCTCTGTCTCTCCGATTTACCAATCTGCAAGAACTTTCACAGCCTCAGCTTCTTACAACTTTGACGTCAACCACAAGGGCTGGCATTTCATCCGACTCTACTTTCATCCTCTTTCTGAACGGTTAGCTTCTGTCTCATTCAGTGTCGTCACTGAGACCCATGTTCTTCTTGATAGCTTTAGATTCAACACTTCTGATAATAAATCTTACTCATCGTTCAGGGAGTATGCGATATATGTGAATACTAACCTTTTAATCCTCACTTTTGTTCCTTCTAGCGACTCCGATATTGCATTTGTGAATGCCATTGAGGTTCTTTCTGTCCCAGACGAGATATTCTCTTTTAATCATACCTTATCTTTCCCAATGTTCAAAGATGTTTCTCTTGAAACCATGTACCGCTTGAACATGGGAGGTCCCTCTTTTGTCCCTTGTCAAAATGACACTCTTTTCAGAGTTTGGGAAGAGGACGATAAGTACCTCAAGCACAATCCTTCAGCTCTTAATCTTTCTGTGAACCCACACTCCGCAAAAGCCTTTCGAAAAAAACATGTCAAGCGCGTCCAATTTGACTTGGGTCTTCCCTGTCAATCCGAAGTTCAAATACATTCTGAGAATTCATTTCTGCGATATGATTAGCAAGTCCAGAAACAGCTTGTTTTTCAACGTGTACGTAAATTCTGATCTTGTCATGAAAAATCTAAATCTATCAGCATTTGCTCATGATGTTGGCGTTCCATACGTCATCGACTATGTCACCAATATCACTTCTGAAGATTCAGATACATTATTGAGTGTCACTGCCGAAGCTAGCGGCTTTGATCATCAGAGCCTTAAAGCTACGTTGAACGGGCTAGAGATTATGAAGATGAGAAACGCCATGAGAAGCTTGGATGAGCTGTCCTCTCATGATAATAATATAACTCCAAAAAAGTCAGCTTTGAAAATCCCAAAAGTAGCAATAATCCTCTTGAGCAGTTGCATGGCTGCTGCTTCTTTGTTCGTAGGTGCTTTTTATTATTTTTGTCGATGCCTAAGAGCTGGTAGTTCCAAATCCAATAACGGAAATGTAAGACTCAGAATATTCACTTTCCAGGAGATTCAAGAAGCAACCAACAATTTCGATGAGAGATATTATATCGGAAATGGTGGTTTTGGGAAAGTGTTCATGGGACATCTCAAAGATGGTACGAAGGTTGCGATCAAGAGAGCAAACCCTCAATCCAATCAAGGCATTGCCGAGTTCCAGAACGAGATCAAATTCTTATCGAAACTTCGTCACCAAAATCTCGTCTCTCTTCTCGGATACTGCTACGAGGATAAGCAAATGGCTCTGGTTTATGCCTACATGGCAGGTGGGTCTCTCAACAGCCATCTCTACGGGGAAAACGTCGTCGTTCCACTGACATGGAAGCAAAGGCTTGAGATTTGCATAGGAGCTGCAAGAGGGCTTCATTATCTTCACACTGGAGCTTCTCAAAGCATAATCCAGAGACGTGAAGTCAGCGAATATTCTGTTGGATGAGAACTTTGTTGCCAAAGTTTCAGACTTTGGGATCTCACGGAACGGCCCATCTTCTGATAAGTCCCACGTGAGCACTATTGTGAAGGGAAGCTTTGGCTACTTAGATCCTGAGTACTTCAGAACGCAGCATTTAACAGAGAAGTCAGATGTGTTTTCATTTGGAATGGTGCTTCTGGAAGTTCTATGTGGGAGGCCTGCTCTGAATTGTTCTCTGCCAGACGAAGAAAAAAATTTGGCAAGCTGGGCATTAAGCAAAGTCGAAAACGACGAGTCGTCGCTACAAGAGATAATAGAGCCGAGTCTAATTGGGAAGGCGAATCACGAATCTTTGAAGAAGGTGTGGGAATTGGCTAACATGTGCTTGGAGCGAAGGATCAACAGACCAACAATGGGATACATCATGTTATGCTTGCAAGATGCTCTTTACCTTCATCTCAGTACAGAAAGTGAAGCCTAGCTAGTAGCTACTGAAGAAATTGAATTCGTCTTCGTTAATAGTCCAGTTAATTAAATATTGTTGTTCCAGTACGAGTGTGTTTGTGTAGGGTTGGTCATTGATTTGAATTTTTAAATATGGGATGGCCGGTCAGTTGGTTAATTGATAATGTTCGTGCATGCATGTACAGAAGGTGTATATAACTTCCTTAATTGGTGGTTGCGTCTTTTAAATTAGCAACCATGTGTGAGTGCTGTTAACATGTGATGTTTAACTTGTAATTAATGGTAAAAAAAGTCAATTTTATGTTCTCTAATCCCATTTACCGGATGCATCTTATTATCTGATATATATATATATATATATATTGAATCTTGTAAATATATATGAAGAGCATTAATTTATATATGATTAGAAAACTATATTACTTTTTAAATATGCATGATTTAGAAATGATATATGATCATGTAAACAACTTCAATTAGTTATTAAATAAAAATGAATTAATATATCAATATATTATACAAAAATAAATTAAATGACAGTATATATTATTGTTGGAGTAAATTGGCTCAATGGTCATGAAAAATACAATTTTCATAAATTATGAATGAGGTTTTTGAATATTTTAAAATATAACTCATTCACTAAATTAATTAGACGTTTTTTTTTATTCACAGAACAAATACATTATTAAAATGCTCTACATAAATTGATTCATGAATATATTTCTCATAACTAAGTAAATGATTTTAACTCTGAATTAACTAAATCAAATTTTTGTACACACATTCATCATATCTCTCTCCTTTTCACAATAATTCTTTCCCTTTCTTGGTGGGCGGAGGAATCAAGGTGATATTTATATGTTGCTTTCTCATTGTCACACTCTTTTGCAAAAGATATCCCCAACATGACTAGTTCAATTTTGTGCCTCTGTAAGTGAATCTCATTGCTAGGCTTCCTTGTGTGAAAATGAATATAAGCCTAAAACTTTCATTATAGAGAGGTATTTGATTTTTTGTGATAATTTAAGATGTCTAGAATTTTTTACAGCCCATGTTTGATCTGTTTTGAGCAAATGATTTTTTTTTCGTGTTTTTTATCCACAATATTTTATCAATGATATACAAATAAACCATATTAATGAAAAATTATCAATACTATTTAATCTTATAAATATGAAAATGCTTAATCTCGTCATTTCTTATGATAAAAAATGAGATTTATTAGTTTAAGTATTTAATTTTTTATGGTAAGCGAAGATGTCCAAGATGTCCAAGATTTTTTTACTAACCGTGTTTAATCTATTTTGAATAAATAATTATATTTTTTTTTATGTTTCTGACTTACGATAGTATATCAGTGATATATAATTGTATATTACTAATAAACCATATCAGGAAAAAATTATCAATATCATTTAATTTTGTAAATACAAAGATGCTTAATCTTGTTATTTTTTTTTTTTGAAAGATGGTCAAATACAGCTCTCTTTCATCTTTGAGTATTTAAAAGAAGATTTTTGTCCAAAAAATATATTTAAAAAAAGGTCATATTATTTGCAAAGAGGATAATTTTATCATATAAAGCTCAACTAAATATGAAAATGATTATAACATAAAATATAACAAATGTTAGGTAATTTATTAGGTTTGGTTTATAACATGAATTATACATGTGAAAGCTCTTTTGTTGTTGGTCAGCACGGATCCTGCGTTTGTATGGGGCTGATCAAAAAATAATAATAAATCACTGGTAGTATTCCAAATTTAAACTTAAACTTAAGGAGGGTTACACTTGACAGTTAATTTGCAAATCCAATAAATTTCAGTTTGTGCCCAATAATTTTGTTTCCCGATCATTTTGTGCAATTTCGTCCACTAATTAACTCCGCACGTCTGAGATGTTAAAATGTTATTTCTGTTACGTTTGAACAGCTTTCAATATTTTAAAAAAATATATCTGACAATGGTCAATATCTACATAATAGCTCAATTAAGTTGGGATATTTACTTCTACCAAAAAAGAAAATTGGGACATTTACCGATTCTGTCAAAAAATAATCAATTAGAACATTATTTAAAATACGTGTCAAGCTAAGTTAATTGAGTTTTACTGAGTCAAGTAATTAATTATTTTTGGACAAAGAAAAATAGTCAAATAACTGTTAAATCCCTAATAAATTTGGAGTTTTAGTTAGCCCAGATGAAAAGGTTTAGCTGCCTCCACCAAAACGTGAAACCAAACAACCGCAAATATATATCAAAGCTATTGGTCCAATTATATATACTATATAGATTAATATGCTAACTCCAGGTTATGCAAATTAAAAAACAAAAGATATAATAAATTGAGTATAAATCTCAAAGTAAATAATTTAACTTTTCTTAGGATATTGTAATTGATAAATTAAATGAGTTAATCCACTTTTAACAAGAAAAATCATCTATAATATCCCATAAAAAAGATAATTACAAAGCCATCTAAAACTAGCTTAGAAGATTAAGGTGAGGTGAGAGGTGGGTAAAAGTAAGAGGTTGCATTCTTTGTTAGTGTATCAAAAGAACGAGTTAAACAATAAATGAGTCCATAAATTCTAAATTTAGAAACGTAAGTTTGCAATCTTAGGCTCTTTTTTTATACAATGTTTTCTTTTATTTTTAAAAATAGTGCAATCCAACTTATACCCTTAATAAATATTAATTTTAACGATTAGTTGATAAAAAAATTACATAAAATAACATCAAAAATTATAAAAAAAATCCAAAATATACAGAAAATTACCACAAAAATTACCCACAAGCACAAAGAAATTTTTTGTATTGGCTTATTTTTTGTAATTTTGTAGTTAATTAATAGTCAAAGTTAATATTTATTAACGATAAAGATTAAATTGCACTGTTTTAAAAGTTGAAGGAAAAAATTATATAAAAAAATGAGTTTAGAGTTCTAATATTCTTATATCTATAATTTAGAGGCTAATTAACTATTTATCCTTGAAAGAAGAGATAATTTACATGTAGGTTCATCAACATTAATGAGATATAATAATTTTGTTTTAATTTGTGGTTTTCCTTTCCTTAGTTAATTTCTCGGTACTTTCATGCCTCGTTTTGGTCTTGTTTGGTTTGTAAAATCAGGAATAAAAATGCGAGGAGATATACATTTTAGTTTGACTTTTTAGGATATCTATCACATATTCAAATTGCTTTCACTTTGAGTTTGAAATAGTGACCATTCAAGCCTACTTGAGCCGCCCCGCCACCCCTCCACCCCCATCTTTTCTTTTCCCCCTCCCCTTCACGTTCGGACAATACATGACTTTGGCTTGATCTAAACTCTTATCTCTTCTTAAAAAAAATTAGATAACTCATAATTTGGTTTAGTTTAAGCTCAATTTAAAGGTTTAGTTTAAGCTTAATTTAAAGTTGAACAAGATCAAACTTGATTTATAAAAGTTGAAGACTAATCTTGATAGTCTAGTACTCTATTTTACATTTTTTTCTCTTTTGCTCTATAAGAGGAAACAATTCATTTCAACATGATAAATTCAATTAAAATAATAAAATACTTATACTTATAATCATATAAAATTTATTACAAAGCATTGAGAGCTAATTATTATAAACCAATTTATTTTATCACACTATAATTATAATTATATTAAAAGCAGCT